GCAAATTGATTGAAGGAATAATTGAACACTTTAAGTGGAAATTTTAAAGTCAGAAAGTAATCTTTGACTCAAAAATATCTCTCTTTGTAGTTGTTGTGCTTGAATCAGGATCCAAGAATGTATTTTTATTACCTCTTGTAATATATTACTTCTTGTCATAATATTTGTTTAATTTGACATACTCCGTTTTTTACCCCATGACATACATTTGTTGAAGAGACCAGGTAATTTGTCCTCTAGATTTTCCCATGTATTGACTTTGGCTGATAGCTTCTTGGTTTTTCCTGTATTTCCTTGTAGTTGGAGCTATGGAGGCTTGATTAGTTTCAGGTTTGATACCACCTTCAACCCCTTCAAGGATACTTTATCATTGCTTCCTGTTAGGTCATATTAGGAGGTACTTAATGTGTATTTGATCCAATTTTAGTGTTATTGATTTACGATTGATTCATGTCATATGCCTAATCCAACCATTATAAAGTTTCACGTACCTTAATAGTTTTAAAAATCACACATTGATGATAGTTACTCTGATTCATTTCACTGGGGTTAAAGTGATTTTCTAATTATTTCATTCTTTCTGCATTTACTAAAATAAATTTTTTTGTGAGGAAACGTATTTTCATCAACTATTTGGTTATCTGAAATACAAATTTAAGCAAAAATAGAAGAATAAATGCTGATTTTTTCACCCTTTTCTTACCTGTTTCAGACATTGGGTTGCATGATTTGCTTGTCTTTATTGGTATTTTGCTGTATACCAAACTTTCTTTGATTATTCTATTCTCTCTTTGCTTTGAGTTCTGTAAGGTTCATTCATTTTTAGAAAAAAATTCTATTGATTTTTTTCATATTCTCTGTAGTATGTATCCTTCTCAACTCAAAAAGCTTCTCTAAGGTTTCCCGAAGCATACTGTATCCAGATGAATTTACCTACTTAATTTTTGTCTTATTTCTTAGTGTTTGGTTAGATAAACGTGTGTGTGTGTGTCTTTGATTGCATTTTGCTGAAATACAATGAAAATAGAATAAAATATATCACATAGAGTAAAATCCATTAATCAAGTCTTTTCCTTTTTGATTCTGTTAAGGAAACTTTGTGTATTACAAAATTGTTTCCTGGTTTTCTTTCCAGAATCTTTTGCTCTACTTATCACATTTGGATCATTGATCTGCTAGTGACTTTTTTGGTTTGATGTGAAATAGGAGTTAAGGGTCATAGTTTTCCTTATGGGTACTTAGTTGACATAGCATTAAAGGCTCTGAACAGTACTTTAAAGATGAACCTCACATACTTCAGCATTTCCCAAATTTATGTGGAATACAGATCTTTTTTCTATAATGCTTTGGGGAACATTGATCTCTAAAGGATTGATTAGCTGGTGTTGTAAAGGAAATATTACACAATTATTAATTTGAGTCAAATACTGTTATTATTAAAATTTCTAGAACAAATTGAAAACCTGTATAAATCAGGTGACCTTATATATGAGTCCATTTCTGGACTCCATTCTTTTTTATTGCTTTGTGTTTATCATTGGATTGATATCACAGTATCTCATTATAGTTTTATAATGGATCATGTCTGATATTGTAAGTACTTTAGCTTGATTACAGTTCTTCAGGATTGTCTTGCAGTCTTTTGTGTTTCCTTATACATTTTAGGATCAGTTTACACACACACAATAAGCTTGAGATTTTGATTGAGATACTTGATTTCTAATAGATTAACTAGAGTAGAATTGTCATTAACTAACTAACATCGAATCTTCCATCTGTAAATATATTATATTCTCCATTTATTTAGGCCTTTAATTTCTTGTGAAAATATTTTTTTAGTTTGGGTTTTTTTTTATTGTTTTAGATGTATAGGTCATTTTTTCATTAGATTTATTTTTAAGAATTTGTTAGGAATTTGCAGTTATACAACTGTCAGAAGAAGGCAGTATATTAGATGAACAGTATTACCCTGTTGAAGTTGTTTTGTATTGAATTTTTTACTATTTGAAGTTGTAATTATTGATACAGTACTCAGTTTGGTCCTTCAAGATTTTGTGCAGTTGTAAACTTTTTATTACTAAAGGGAACGTATTTTTAGTACTGGGGGAAATAATAAGAGTTGCTATACCATCCCTACTTCATGAGGATTTATATATCCCTACTTTGAGGATTTATAAATCATAATTATTAAATTATGTTGTGTGTTTTAGGGTTGGTTTTACAGGAATTGAGGTTAATAAGCCTTTGGGTAAAGTTTGTATTTATCTGGGTATGAGTTGGGCTGTGTTTATTATTTGTTGTGGCTCTAGGCGTCCAAATCTAAAATATTTTCTGGTATCCTTGCTTTTATTTCCCCTGTTGTCTTTTGGTTTCCTTAGAGACTCCTGCTAAAATAAGGTCTGAGCTTTGTAGATCTTTCAGCTGTGTCCCACTGTTGTTTTTTTGTTTGTTGTGAGGGTTTTTTTGTTTGTTTTGTTTATGGTACCAGGGATTGAACTCAGGGCACTCAACCACTGAGCCATATCTTCATCCCTATTTTGTATTTTATTTAGAGACAGGGTCTCCCTGAGTTGCTTGGCACCTTGCTAAATTGCTGAGGCTGGCTTTGAACTTGCAGTCCTCCTGCCTCAGCCTACCAAGCCACTGGGATTACTGGCATGCCTGGCAGCTGTGTTACACTGTTGTGCAAGAGCTTGTTTGATGGTGGTAGTAAAATATGAGAAGAGTGAAAGCATTCCAAAATCCTTCCATTGATTTGCTCAATTGATCTTATCAATAGTCTTTAGTGAACCTGCACCCATAGGCTGTGACCTTCACAAGTTCTCAGCTTTATCCTCTCCCCGTAGGTGATTTAAAGAGTGCAGGGGCTAGAGTTGAGTATTTCCTGTCCTCAGATCAGTTAAGTTTCCTCTGAGAATGGTGCTTTGTTTAAAAGAACCAAATGCTCTAGGCATATTTCAAAATAGTTGTTTTCCCCTACTCTTGCTACTTTTTTTTTTCCCCTCCAAATCTTTACCCTGATATTCCAATGGGGCTTCAGTAGGTACAATTCAGGAAATTGTGCCACCACCACCACTCAAGACTGGGCTTCAGGAGTTTTACTTCTCAAGCTAGTCTAAGCCCAGTTTTTGGCAATTGGTCCATTATAATTTATGTATTCTTACCAGTACTGGCTCTTGCAGCAGGCTCCTGTCCCTGGTAATCAGTGATTATTCTCTGACTCCACTTTTCAGGGCAGCACTTTACTCTCAATTTTCTGATGGATATAAAAGTTGATGATTTTCTGTTTGTTCAACTTTTTTGTTTTTCAGTTAATTTACATAGCATTTCATTATTATGAGGGCAGAAGTGATGATTTCCAAGCTCTGTATATGTTGAACTAGAAACCAGAAATCTTAATCAGTGTTTCACTAAGTGACATCTTTGCACAAGTGCAGTATCAAATTGTCCATAGGCTATTTAAAAATTATAGTGGATAAAGCAATCAGTAGTTCATTCATACATTTCACAAATTTTATATGAATTGTTAATTATGACCACCTGGAAACCCTTTAAATTTGCAGTGATGGGTTGTGTGCATGCTTAAAACATTAAATAGTAACTACTGAGAACCATCATGAATGTCCTAAAATTAGGACTATTAAACCTTTGACAAAAATTTTGATACATTAGGAAGAAAGAGCTTGAAATTGTGGCAGGGGCTTGGAACTGTAAATCAAGATTAGATTTTGATTCTATATCTACCACTAACAATGAATTGGAAAATTCAGATTTAGAAAGAGATCAGAGTTAGAAATAAAGATTTTTGTTATATTAATACAGACAGCCTTCTACACTCTCTGATTCAACCAACCAGGAACCAAAGTATTTGGAAAAAAAATGGTGTCTGTACATGTACAGAACTTTTCTTGTCATCATTCCCTAAATATTATTTACATAGTACTTACATTGTATTAGGTGTTATGAGTAATCTAAGAAGGATTTAAAGTATACAGGAGGATGTGCTTAGGTTACATACAAATATGCCATTTTATATGAGGGTCTTAGGCACCTGTGTATTTTTTTTTCTGCAAGATGTCTTGAAACCAGTTCCCGTGGACTTACCATCTTAAATTTTCTTTACTGGGAGGAGAGATCTCTTGAGCCTAGGATATCTTTACCCTCTCTGAGAGTATTCCCTAGCACTTTGCAAACATGAAAAGTAAATAATTTTAAGAATGGATTTAACAGCTGGACATGGTGGTACACACCTGTAGTTGCAGCAATTCAGGAGGCCTAGGCAGGAAGATCATAAGTTCAAAGCCAGCCTTAGCAAATTGGCAGGACCTGTCTCAAAATTTTAAAAAAGGGTTAGGGATGTAGTTCAGTGGTTAAGCACACCCCTGGGTTCAATCCCCCAAATGAGGTGTAGGATTTAAGGATATATTTTTAGACAAACTGATGTTTTGGTGAGATATTTATATAGACCCATTTTGCCAATAAATAAATATTCATCGAGAATTTAGGATGGAAGACTTTTTTTTTTCCTTTTTTATGGTGCTGGGTATTGAACCCAGAGCCTCATAGAAACTAGGCAAACATTCTACCCCTGAACTGTATCCCTAACCCTGAAGATAGAAATTCTTCCACTGTTCCACTACTATGCAGTGTGATCCTTAAAAGACTTCATAGTAGTTCCTCATTTTAATTTTTTTTTTGAATGAATGAACTTCGTTCATTTCACCATAAGTACTTTTACACTGTTGAGCAGGAAAGAATCTGATAGCCATTGTTCCTCACCTTTTTTTCTATAGTATAACATTTTCATGTTACAATGTTTTTCTCTACATTCATAAGAAATGGAAAATAGAGTTAAAATGTTGGTAAAAGTGTTTTATTTCACAAATAGAAAAAAGTTAAGTTTAGTAGAAGTCAAATTTTGAGATTTATATTTTAAACTATTCCTTATTTAAAAATATGTACATATTATAGATGTGTGACCATCTTATGTTCTATTATAGGCAATACAAGGACCTGTGGAATATGAGTGATGACAAACCCTTTCTATGCACTGCCCCTGGATGTGGCCAGGTAATAGATATTAGTTACTTTAAATAATTTTGTATGTTTTCGTTTGTTAGAACATTGATGGTAGAGTACATTGTTATTTAAAAAGCCCTGTCTTACAGTGTTTTTAAAGAGTTAAGGTAAAAACACTTTGGGAAAGAATTTCTTCTTTTCATTTTTTTCTTCAGTAACATATCTGAGTTTTAGAAAATACAGTCTAAGGGAGGGTGTGGGGTTGGGGGAGTATTTTGTAATAGAAATGTAAAAATCTAGGATTTTTAAAGTTATAAATCTGACCAACATTTATCAAAAAACATTGGTATACTATCTAATTAGAAATCAAACACGTGTCTTATATAAAAATTGTTTTATGTGTTGAACTCTTATGAAATTAACTGATATTTACCTCTGATATTATCACTAATGTATCCATGTTCTTAAATTAATATCTTTAATATAGAACATGTGTGGAAGCAGTTTCAGAAAATAATAAATATTTCAGATTTTTAGTAGGCCATTAAATCATTAATCTATTATAATTATCCTATTCTTCAAATAAATATAAACACTAAGAAAGAATAAATTTGATGTATACTGAAATTCAGCATACTTAAATATGGATTTTAGGTCATAAGCATTAAAGTACTTCATTAGTTCTCATTTTCTGTAATCACTATTTTAATTGAGATAGAAGTCATGTATGATAAACTGCATAAAACTCACATTGTGGTAAATTTTAACATGTATGGACTCAAGAAAACATCACTACAAACAAGATAGCAAACATACCCTTACTCCAAAAATTTTCCTCATGCCCATTTGTAATTTCTCTCACCCTGTCAACCCCTGATGTACCTGCTGTCACTGTAGATGTATTCATTTTCTAAGTTTTATATAAATGGAATCATACAGTTTGTGTATTTGTCTAACTTCTTTTATGCCACATAACTTAAGATTTCTAGTGAATTTTAATTAGTCTGAATTAGTCTTTTTTTTTTTTTTTTTTTTTTTTTGCTGTAGCTATATCCCACAGACTGGATACTAAGTAATTAAAAAAAAAAAAAAAGTTTATTTAGCTCATGGTTCTAGAGGCCAAAACCAGTGTGAACCTTCCTGATGGGGTAATCTATAAAACCTCTAGACAGTTTTGGGCATCTCAGCAGGACTAAACAAGCTTCCTCTTGCTCTGTCTTATGAAGTTATTAATTATATAATGAGGGACCCAGCTTTATAACCCTGTTAATCCTAATTATCTCCCAAAGGCCCCAATTCCAAATACTATTAACATGACTTTAGGTTTTAAAGTTTCTAACATGTGGATTCCTGGGGACATACCCAAACTATAGCCTCTATGTTATATGATCAATAATTAATTCCTTTGCACTGAGAAATAATATTTCATCTTTCCACAATTCATTCATTTACTTGTTTATGATAGACATTTGACTTATTTCCAGTGTTTAGTTATCACAGATAGAAAGTTTGTGTGAATATTAGTATACAAGTCTTTATCTGAATATGTGCTTTTGTTTCTCTTAGATGATACCCAGAAGTATGATGATGGGATTATGTGATGGGTTTATGTTTGACTTTTTAGAAAGTTACCAAACTGCTTCCCAAAATGGATATCACTTTACATTTACATTGACAATTTATAAGAGATTTAATTATACCCTGTGCTTGTCAACATTTGATGTTGTCAGGTCTTTAAAATTTTAGTCATCTTCATGTGTGTATACTGGTGTCTCATTGTAGTTTTAATTTGCATTTCTTTAATGAAAAAATGAGCACTTTTTCAAAATGTATTTATCAGCCATTTGTATACCTTATTTTTTGTGAGGTATCATTTCAGATCATTTTTTGTTTCTAAAACTTAGGTTGTCTTTTAATTACTGAGTTGTGGCATTTCTTTATATATTTTAGATACCTGTGCTTTGTCAAATATTCTCTTCAAGCCTGTGATTTGCATCTTAGGTTTCCTAATAATTTTTGATGAACAGGTGTTTCTAATTTTAATGAAGTGTGATATATAATTTTTACTCTTTTATGTTTTGTGTACTCTGTAACTTGCCTAAGAAACTTCTGCCTACCCTTAGGTCACAAAGATATTTGTCCTTTCTTTCCTCTAAAAGCTTTTTTTTTTTTTTTTTTTTTTTAAGCTTAGGCTTCTGATTTCATCTTGAACTAATTTTCATATACAGTGCGAAGTATAGATTGAAGTTAATCTATTTTTCCTGATATAGTTTCTCAGACAGTCATCAATTGTTGAAAAGATGTTTCTTTCTCCATTAAATTGCTTTGGTTCCTGTATAGAAAACCAAATGATTATATAAGATGAGGCTGTTTCTGGGCTTTTATATTTTTGTTTCGGTCATCAGTCTCAGCTTTTATGCCAGTTCCACATTTTCTAGCTTTGCAGTTTGTGTTCCAGTCAGATAGGGTAAGTTCTTCAATTAAGTTCTCCCTTTTAAAGATTGTTTTGGTTAGTCTTTTAATTTTTAGTAATTCTGGTGAAGATGTTAGTGGTGTCTTGTGATTTCAATTACCTGGTATCGATATTGAGCGGGATAAAGACAGGAGTTAACACAGTTGATGCTGTTTTAAATAGATTGGTCAGGAAATGTGTTTGAACAAAGAAATGAAGAAAATGTGCATATATTTCTTTTGTATTAGAGCATATAATGGTCAGTGGGAGGTAGGGTTAGAGGTTAATCAGAATGATAGAAAAAAGAAGAAATATCCTGTAGAATTTTGCATACTGTTTGTATGCAAAATATACTACAGAACAGTAAGAAACTATTCCTGAGATAAGAGTGAAATTTAGGGAGATTAGAGGCTAACAGCAATTCAGATGAGAGATGGACTAGGTGGCTTTGACTAAGTAGTAATGGTGGACATAGAAATAGACTAACTTGACATCTGTTTTGGAGTTATATTTGATATGCATTTTCCTATAAAGTTAAGAGAGCTTAAAAAAGTTTAACAAAATACCTGACATAATCAACTTATAAGGAGAAAATATTCATTTTGGCTCACAGTTTTGGAGGTTGCTGTCCATGATTGGTTAGTCCTGTTACTTTGGGCCTGTGACAAGACAGGACATACATCATGGCAGGAGCAAGAAACAGAACCAACCACTTATATCACAAGCAGAGTGCCAAGAAGAAGAGGAAGGGGCTAAAGTCTCTTTCAGGGGCACTCCGCCAGTAACCTACCTCCCATAAGGCCCCAACTCTCAGTATTTCCACCTTTCCCAATAATGCCCACTTGGGAACCAGATCTTTAACAATCAAGATGATCCAGACTACAGCAACAGCTAATGAAATATGTTTCCAGGACTATCTTTGGACATTATCCAGTTTGGTCATGTTCTAGCAGTTGTTCTTGAAAATACAGACTCAGACAAGCGCTTACCTAATTCTTTGTCCTTATTCTCTTCTGCTTAAAATAGTTGGAATGTTTCTGTTATCTTGTGATTGACTCTGTTTTAGTCAGCTTTTTTGTGGCTGTGACTAAAAACCCTGTCAAGAACAATTTTAGAGGAGGAAAAGTTTATTTGGGGGCTTACAGTTTCAAAGTTCTCAGTCCATAGACAGCTGGCTCCATTTCTCAGGGCTCAAGGTGAGGCTGAACATCTTGGTGGAAGAGTGTGGTGGAGGGAAGCAGCTTACATGATGATCAGAAAGCAGAGAGACTCCTTGACAAATACTACAAAATATATACCCCAAAGGCCTGTCCCCAATGACCCACCTTTTTCAGCCTCACCCGTCTTCATTTACCACTGAGTTAATCCCATGAGGGCACTAATTCACTGATTGAATTAAGGCTCTCATGACTTGGTCATTTCTTTAAGCCTTCTTGCATTGTCTTGCACATGAATTTTTGGGGAAAATTCTAAACATAACAGACTTCTTACTAATATACATACCTTTGTTTATAAAAAGCATTGTGTTTAAATTCATTAAAACAGAAGAAACTGATGCCAGATGTTAGAATATATGTGTATATATGCATCATAAGAGTTTTTATTTCCTAAAAGACTTCTAACATTAAATTTATGGCATATGAAAAACATTAACAAGTTGATATTTGACTCTCCACTTCCCTTTTCCATCTCCTGATATCTGATAATTATTGTACTATTCTTACATTGTCAAGGTTTATAAAACTTAAATTTTGTCTTATAACTCTCATATTTATTTAGTTTCTATCTTAAAATGGTATAGAGAATAAGGGTTGAAAACAAAGCATTTGGGCACTCGAGTGTTTAAAACTCAAAATAGAAGGAGAATATAACTAAGACACAATAGCCAGTGAGGAAAGTTGAGTCCTGGAAGTCAAGTAAGAAATGTTTTGAAGTTGTTGTTGTTGCGGGGGGGGGGGGATATAGCCATATAGCATCAAATGAGAATTTAGTATTTATTTGATTTAGAAATTCTTAGGGCTACACCTGTAGCTTAGTGGTAGAACATTTGCCTAATGTGTGCAAAGTCCTAACTTTGATCCCCAGCATTGCAAAAAGGTAAAAAAAAAAAAAGAAAGAAAGAAAAGAAAAGGAAAAAAAAGTGAAGATAATTAGAGACCTTGGTGAGAGTAGCTTCAGTGAAGCAGCAGGAACACCTGTGTTGATCAGAGTAGTTTAGAGAATGGGGGGAAAAAAGAGAATGGAGGGGCTAGTTGTGGCTCAGTGGTAGAGCACTTACCTCTCAAATGTGGGACCCTGGGTTTGATTCTCAGCACCACATAAAAATAAATAAACAAAATAAAGATATTGTGCCCATGTATAACTAAAAAAAAAGAGAGAGAGAGAGAGAGAAGAGAATGGAGACATTGTAAGAGCTCTTTCTTGGAGTGTAACCTAAAGGGGAAAGTATGATATATAGCTGGAGAAGGATGTAGAATTGAAGATGAATTTTGTTTGTTTGTTTTGTATTTTAAAGTAGGAATGTGGGCTAGGGTTGTGGCTCAGTGGTAGAGCGCTTGCCTAGCATGTTCGAGGCCCTGGGTTCAATCCTCAGTACCAC